GCCGATAACAGCCGTTGGAAGACGCTAAATCTCAAGGAGGTTACACGATCGCTCTCCCACGTGTAACGTCACGACAGCAGCCTCGAAGAAGGAGAAATCCGAGAAGACCAAAACCCTCCGACCCCAGTAGCAACTCCAGATATACTGCAGTAGGTGACGAAGTACTTAACGCGAGAAGAAACGCGTACCAACTAGCACAAGCAGCTACTTTCTCCAGGTCATTACCAGAAATTACATCTCGAAAACAAAGAAAAGAGTTGCGCCTTATCCGACCTAGATAACGATAACCTAGCAGATTCAGGAACTCTCGTAGTAAGAGACGACGACGAGACAGATAAGAGGAAAACTCCGACTCAATTCCAACCAGCTCTCAAACTCGACCAAAAGCAAGCTCAGAAGCCAAAGAAACAAGCCAAGCCAACACAAAAGCCGCCAGCACCCCCAGTTCAACTTAACCTAGAAGTACCTAACCTAAATCCGCCTGATAATAACCCACAACAACAGCAAATAGACGACGAAGAAATGGCACAAACAGTCTACCCAGTCTTTGATGGTACCAACCCGCGTAAGTGGATTTTTGACTTAGAAATAGCTTTTATTGCCAACAATATCCTAGATGCAGCAAACGCCAGGCGAATAGGCCTTGCAGTTATGAACCTAGGTCCAGTGAAAATGTGGTATGTCACCCTCAACCCTAAGCCTACCACTTGGGTAAGAGCCAATAGTCAAGATGGATTCAAAGAATTGTTCCTAGCCAAGTACGCAACAGAAGCTAACAAGGCCCAGGCATCCCAACAAGCGCAAGCAAGGGTACAAAGACCAACGGAAACAGTAAACGAATACTTAAGTGCTTTAGAAGAAATATGGATGGAATGTGGTGACGCTGCGGTCATTCCGGAATGGATAAAAGTTAGCCAATTCACCAGTGGATTATTATCAGCAATCAGATTGCCAGTTAAGCAACAGGCATCCCAGACCATGGCCGATGCAGTGCAAGCTGCAACGAATTGCTATTACGCGTTGCAATCAACAATCCAACCATCGCACAGCGCAGAGGTTAATGATGCGCTCCTGGAGAAAATTGCAGTATTAGAAGTACAATTGGCAGCATTGAGGACTTCTCCGGCTAATACGGGTAACAACAATAACAACAGAGGATTCCAGCAAGGCAACAACAACAGCAGACGCGACGGACTAAGATGTTATTATTGCGGAAATAACGGGCATGTGCACAGAGAATGCCGAATCAAGACCAGAGATATTAGGCAGGGAAGAAAACTTAACTGGGCAGTACCACGGCAGAACAATCAAGAACAGGGAAAAGGCCAGCCACATCAATATCATTACAATTGGTTGAGTATTCATGGAGTTATGAGTCTTTATCGTAAACAGTGAGCCAGTTTTGTGAGTCATTGTATTTATATTAAGAAAGAAAACATCTCTCTTACCAAGAAAGGTAAAGAATTAGCATTGTTGATGGTTTAACAGTAATAGTGCAAAAGGTGATGCAGTTCTTCTCCACTATCATCATAAAATAAGATTGGGCAAAGCAAAGGTCTTTGTAACTTGTACATTTCATTGTGCTCAAACAAACCATTTTCTAATTAGCGAAAACAATAAAATTGATAAAAGTTATTGTTAGAAGGAGAGGAATTGAATAATGTGAATTAATGAGGGAAAAACGAGATTGATGTTCAGCAAATACATCTCATACTCAGTGTTGTGTTAGAAATTTTAATGTTGAAGATGTTGACATTTAAAAGTATTAGTCTGTGTACCTGAAATGTTAATGTAATAATAATGTACATTTGTATTATGACCTTACTTATAAATTTCATTGTTGGAATGTGTTAAAAAGGTGTTAAAGTCACATTTAAATGAAATACAATAATCAGTAGTAAAATTAATTTACATTGCGATGCAAATAAATGTACTTTGCAAATATCATAATAAGCTAGACCGAGGCATGCTAACACGTGTCTGATTATAATAATAAATATCATTTATCACTCATATTTGTTTTCAATAAAAAAAAAAACCGCGTACCTTTTCGGATTGTAATGCTCAAGCTTGACAAAAAAATGAGCTTTTCGATAAAGTTATTGAGACATGGTCATAATGTAGTCCCCCCTTTTTTGAAAGGCAAAGAAACCGCTTCGACTCCTGATCGACTTGGTTCATTTGGATCCTCAAAAAATTTCATATGAAGGCCAATTCACGTACGAAGTCTGCCGAGCATCGTGAAATATTCAAGTTTGCGAATACCACATATAAAAGCTTACCTTGATTCTCGGCGAAATGAAATGTTCACTTAAAACATGTATGATAAATTGGGCATGCGGCCAGACGCGATCATAATCAGGCTAGTTATAGAGATTTCCCCGTGAGTTTCGTCCCGAGCCCCGAGGCACGGTCTCTGTGCGCAGTCTCCAATAATTTACCAGCTTAATCAATATTCCTTTTCTATTCCGCAATGTCCTCTTTCAAAATTCGCAAGTAGGTGTATATGTTTAATGTATTTTCTTTCCTATCATGTGCATAATAGCTCATTGAGCATCGACTTACGAGAGGGGTGATATAATGTCACATTATGATACCATACTTTGTGTTCTTCACTAATTGTTTCTTTTGCGTGTTTGAGTAAACGCTTGCTGCCCTCAGCTTTTTTCTTTTGCCAGACCTTGACAGAGTGCGACATGGTTACGGTATTGGTAATCGCTCTTATTTGTCGTGATACTTATCGGATTTTCAGATTGGTTGCTATAAGAAGCTAAATTATTGATTAAATTTTTGCAGTGTTCTGCATATGAACCACCAACTTGAGAATGGGAACTGACCAGTTGACGTAAAGATGTCAATATGATCGCTCATTCCCCGTGAGTTTAGGAGTCAGTATCAGGACCGATATCTGTTGTTATATATGCTTCAACACGTGCTCTTATTTGAACACTAGTAAGTATGCTTAGTGCTCTGATAAAAGTTACGAGCTCGCATATGTCCACGCGCACGTTCCGGCTTAGTAATCCGACTTCTCTTTTCGAGCTTGCATTGAATTGGTATTTTGAGAAAAATAAAATTCTCACTTATTCTGCACTCAACTATATACGTATTAATATATTTATAGAAAATTAGCCACCAGCTATTTAGATGGAAGAATCTGTTTACCCTTTATGCCAAATATTTACAAACACATGTCAATACCGTCCCCCTGGCTCAAAGGTTTGTACAATTCTGAAGGCCCATGTATTCAATACTAATTTACAAAAGCTCTTGCTCGATGTATCCAAGATAACGCTGCACTGATTTACGTGAGTCACGCTCGTACTACTGCCCCTGTGTTAGTGCGTCCTATTCCTGTCCGAATCGGAGCCACGTGTAAGGTCACTTGACAAAATCGTACTACTTCACTAGCTAATCGACCATATGAGTCAAAATTGAAGATTCATCAAAAAACGATTTCCTATCGACGATTCAAACCCTTATATTAAAAACAATTTGAAACGGGATAAGATATATATGTCTGAGCCGAACAATCTAAAAACTATGTATTAGCATGACATGGAATCATGTATGACGATAAAGTGATTTTGCACACATCAGGGAAAGATGTTGTGGCAAACAATGCCTGCCGTTGCAATACGGAGAATTGTCACATAATAGTAATCAAATCAAAGCTAGCATGAAAAAGTAAATTTGCATCGGTAGCTCATATTGCCCGGCCTTTTATCTTTATAGACCATGTTTGTCCAAGTATAATATAATCGACCTACATATAGGTTACTTAAGGTGCTGTTGATATTATTAGACTACCGAATGCCGTAAGCGGTTGAGCGATAACGCGTCGTAAATAGTTCAGCAGACAACACAAACAGAGCACACCATTCATATGATTTTCAATGTACTTCTTTATTAGCGCGTTAAAGAGAGTAAATTTCCATGGCGTTGTGAAGGATTTATATTCTATTATCTTGACAAAAGTACCCGCAAAACTACTCAGAATTGCATCTGCGCAATAAAGTAAACACATATTTTATACCCAACAACAAATAACCCACCAATTTGAGTGCCTCCTACACCTTGTACATATGCACAACTTTATGAATTAACTGTAGAAAGCATCGATACTGAAGAAATAAAAAAGGAAAAGCAAACTATCAAAGAGAAAAAAGACTGTGAAGCCATAAAATTTGATCTTACATAAACTTAAAAGTATATTATAATAGCCTTTATAATATATGATTGATGTATGTCATCAAATCATAACTTCTCACATTCCGGCAACACCACAAGATCTCGGACCCACTGTCTCTTAATTGGCAGTGACATTCGAATTTACAGACGCCATGGCTCTGTCTAGACCATTCAGAATAGCCGTGGTACGATTGAGGAGCATAGACAAGTGAGAGACTTCCCGTTGAAGCTCTTGCCTATGAGCCTGGAGAACACTGGTGATATTAGGATCGACCGAAGCGGAAGCAGTGGATGGGTTGGACTGACCAGCATTCAAGGAGGGTAAACCCACTGAGGAAATTGGAGGCAACTGTGGAGCGGGGGAAGCCGGGTTCAACAGTGAATTAATCGAGGATGAAGAAGGTGGGCTCGGCATGGTAAAACCCGGAGTATGGACGGGAGATGAAGCATAATTGATAGGCGATGTACTTCCGCTATGTGATGGCGAACAATTTGCACTTTCGTTTCCGTTGTTAAACACAGACTGCAAGGGACAATCGGGGGTGCCCATATATCGACCACCACGGTGAATCTGAACCTGTGGGATTTGGGTCACGTTAGGTTCAACGGGTGACAAATATAAATCACCACCGTTCTTCTTAGGTGCGATATAGTCTTCGATAGCAAGGACAGCACGCTCATGACAATGTCTCTTGGGGATATGGCATTCGTCAAAGACGTTTTTGCGCTTGGGAGCACGACGGACCGGAAGTTCGTCTTCTTCAGAGGTAGGATAATCACGATCAGAGCCGGAACTACTTGGGGTCGGAGGGTGTTGGATTGTTTCTTCGTGATGCGATGCGACGTGAGATTCATTGTCACTTGCATGTCCCGACATTCTATGATGGTGGTGTCCACGAGAATTGGTTCCATTTCCTCTGTTAATCCCAGTGTGCGCATTTCCATTTCCCGCGACAACACTATTTACACTTCCGTTAGCCAACGCAACTCTCTTCCTTCGTTTGATAACACTCCTCTTCATGGTGACTGGCCGATGTACGCTATGAAGTTTATAGTATAGGCCGCAAGCGTTACAAATAGTATTGCCGCCTTCGTCTCGACGCCAAAGTGGAGTGGTATTTGTGCCGCAGTTAGCACAGACAAGTGCTTGTCTGTTTACTTGATGTTGATTATACGCGGGGCAGCCATTACACGATGACGGTCCGCCTGTCCCGTCACAATGCCCGTCTCCCGGACAGGTGCCCGCTGGAAGGATAGGAGATTGGGAAGAAGCTGGTGTAGGTTTTTTAATATTGTTGCGTTTCAGCCACGGTGGACGCACTGTATTGCGAGCTTTCAAGTATAAGCCTATGGGTGAAAGATGTTAAGTTAAAACATGAACGATGACATTATGCAGGTTCCAAGCATTACTTGCGAGTCTAGAAACTTTCGTCGTTTCTGCTAAATCCAATTTCAAGATACTCACCACATGCATTACAGATAGTCTCTCCAGAAGGAGCTCTTCTCCACAGTGGAGTAGTGGTTGTACCACAGTTTGCACAAACGGTAGCCGATACAGCATGGCCTCCTTCAGCCTTAGTGGATTTCTGGTGATGGGCATTCCTTCTACCGGTTATTGATTGCTGATTTTGTTGCGGTTGTTGCATCAACTGGTGGTGGTGATGATGATGATTGATCAGCTGTTGTTGCTGCTGAGGAAGGCGTTGTTGGTCATCCCCTTGTCTATTTTGTTGACCATGTTGATCATGATGAGGATGGGAGAAATCATCGCGATGTCCTCGATGGTGATGCGCAGCAGCAGCTTGATTGAGCTGGTTATGATTCTTATTTTGGTTTGGTGGGTGCATATTCAAAGAACGTTGTTGATGCGTTTGGATTCCGGGTTTAGTGCTATCAGAAGGATTTTGCTGGGATAAGCCCATGGAAGGAGTCACGGAGTGATTGTGGTCTTTCATATTTTGGTAAATAAGTATATGTATTAAGGCTTGTTTTTGTAGAGTGAGTCGTAGGTTTTGCTGTAAGTTGTCGCGCGTTTGTGTCTTGGAGAGTATCCTTGTGCGTATGTAGTGTTGCCGGTGCTGTACAGCCGTTGTATGTGGGGCTGTAGTGTTGGTGGATAATTAATTAGTTAAAAAAAAGGTGCGGTACTTGTATTGGCTTCTTGCAGTCTCAGATAAAAGACGTTGGGCTTTCGATATGGTAAAGTGCGAGGGTCCTGTCAGTAGTTGCGGGTCTAGCGTATTTTGTCAAAGCAGGCCAGGTATGCATTTGACCTGTGCAAACGTAAAGGTTGTTTCTCGATTCCACAATAATTAATAAAACAATTAAAAAAAAGGAACCAAGCTGGGATATTTAGAGTTAACCGGGTTGTGGTATATTAGTCTTGTTAGTATGTGAAGAGAAGTGAAGTTAAAAGTAAAGCGTGCGTGTAAGGCGATTGCTAAAGCAATGGAAGAAAGCGCTGGTAAAGCGTGCTGTCCGTTCTTCTCGACGACAGAGAGAGAGTAACCTGAGGAAGAAAAAAAAGTGTTTGACCTTTTATATGTGGGGAATAAGATGGTGGCTGCTGATTGATTTAGAATGACTAATTGTAACAAATAAATATATGTAATAAATACGTCGATTATCATGCTGATAAGCCATAATAATATATATTATTTATTTATTTATAATAAGACGATTCGAATTTTGTGTAATAACACAAAAAGGGGAAAAAGGCTACGCCACACATCCGATTATATACAAGGGTTACTTTATAATTTTATAAATAGATAGTCAATCTCAACGTTCCGATACGTTGATAAAGCCCATCATCACATGACACATAAATATCAAAACAGGTACTCCTGTCGAAAGATAAGAGAATCGTACCCCATGTGAATATGCAATAACAAAAAGTCTTATACAATAGTCTGATAGTATATTTAATAAACATGTTGCGTCACTCCTTTTTGGGGTGTAGAATGCCTTTGGTAAAGGGGTTTAATTGAGAAGTGTCCAATCACACATCTGCAGGGAGGTGAAAGTACACAACAGTAATAGAACAATATAATAAATATAGCATAATACAATATAAAATATAAAACCCCCATCTCAAAAAAAAAAAGAAAAAAAAAGCCGTCCATATCTCAATCTCTGATCGACAACGCCATGAGGAGTGTATTTTTGTAATGATGATAACACCGATCAGCTGTAGCTATTACTGATTTCTATCATATGTTTACATGATTTTTTATACATGCATAATCAAATAATCTGATCCGCTCGTTATGGCATTCTATGCGGACGGTCTTTGTAATCGCTACCCAAGTATGGAAAACTGCTAACCATAAAAAAACCATCAAATGATGGGAAATGGGAGCAGACTTGCGTTAAAAAGATAATATGATGCGTTTACGACAAACCATAATAAACTTGCATCATTTTCGTACAGCTTTATTTGATAACCTAAATGAATAGTTAGATGATCAACTCTATAATGTAGATAAGCATGTAAATTCAATTTTTTTACTATTTATTGATTCTATACTATCTGCATTCCCCTCGATAACTTCAATGCGAGATAATGTATGTCGCACGTGATAAATAAATAATCAACAAATAGTGTGTGTAATGATGATAAAAGGGTAAGAGGAACAACCAACAACCCGACACATATCTATATCGGTACTTCTTTTTCTTTTTTCCTGACATTATCAAAAATATTCATCTGGATCAGTCGCAGGGCATATCTTATCGTATGTTGCCTTTTGGGAATTAAACTGTAGATTCGCCGTTAGCGTATCCTGTGGTAATGAAATCAAATATAGTTAGTCGCATGTTAAAAATACCAATCAAAATATATTACACAATGTGTGCTAGTGTTATTATTTCATTGTATTACCGTTTATATGTTATCTATAATATTGTTATTTATCAAGTTTCCAACACGAATTCGATCCCCCGTATTCTGTAATTTCCCAACAGGTGCTTTTCCATTACTTTGTATTGCCGCGTGAACATGCAGCCTGTCCGGGGTCGTTAAGTTTGTATAAGCGAATAACATTTGAATGACAAACTGAATTTAAGCCACCTGTGAAAATTTTACATCTAGTCAATAATCCGTTCGTTATCTGTGATTATCTAGACATCATCAAACCAAACTAATTACGACAAGCAATTAACGTCTTGAGTCATGAACAAGTACTCAATTATTCAATGTAATATCATATTTTATACACATCTTTAATACACTATTCCATATTGCAGACTCCCATCAGTAGCATTCCTATTGTCTGTATTCAATGAGATGAGTGGTATCTTTCGGTAATTTGTCCCTCCGTCAATATGTAATTTGTCATTCTTTTTGGCGTTTTCCTCTGTTATTTTAAAACACATCAATTCCCACAGAGTGCCAAAGATGGTAGTAAGTAAATAATGCATGTAACTGTGTGTTTGTCTCTTATGTACTATTACATAATAAGCTACTCATAACCCCACTCCATCACTCCAATTAGATTCCATGAATTTGTACCGGCAACTCCGCGTTTTCCGCCCTAAATTAAGAAGTTTCTCTTTGTATTAAATGATGTATCTGATATATTGCTCCTTTGTTTAATGTGGATATCTGTGACTCCGTTTATTACCGCTTTTGTCAATAACAACCCGTCACACTCTGTACGTCCGAACATTGAGAACGGCGGAGGCTGAATGCGTAATACCCAGATATTACGTAAAATGAAGGAATACAGATTATAAATGTACACCTTTAGGTAGTTCGGCTTTAACCCGTTACACTGCACGTGTTGCGTCTGCTGGATTTTAAGGGTTTATTGTATTAGATTTTCGGTTTAACATCCTTATCGTTGCTATACTATTGGTTCCAACTTTGTAGTCATGAACATATAGTAAACAAATAGATCTTTGTGAGCTTGAGACGACGAAGCAAATTAAACTTTTTGTAGCCCATTAAAAATATCAACAGAGCACTTGCGCTGTAATTAAGATATATTCAAAAGTAAACCTAGTGTGGACAAGCCACCATTGTTTCAGCAAATATCATCATCATGCCTTGAGATAAAGCCGACAATTTGTGGCACAATTGATAACATGTAGTTCTGTGTCACAATTCGTAATTATTCTCATTACCATAATGGGACGATAAGGATTTTGATGTTTGATAATCAGATATGTAAACCTAGCTTAACTAATCTCACTTAGATTATCATCGATCAAATATAAACCCATCTTTTTAAATTCACTAACTATTCATCCATTAAATTTCATTGAACCAATACTGGCTTAGGCAAACTATTTCATTAGAAGCTGTAACAGCCAATTTATCTGACGATGAAGTAGACGTCTGTTTCGGAAATAAACATTATTCAGCGGATTTATCGAAATCGGGCACGGCTTAAGATTTCCTATCTATTCTCATTAGTAAGAAAGTATTCTAGTTTTGGTTACGCATAACACAAATATTAATTAAATGTATATGAAAGAAGTTATGCATAATATCATGTTACAAAATATTTCAATAAATAGTTTATTGAGTCTGACTGATAGTACCGCCTCTAAATCTATATTATTCAAGATTCTCGCAGTTAGAATCTGTTGCGCCTGGGGGAAACCATTGAATTCGTCAATACTCACGAAATTCTTGATGTATATTCGATCTCAGCCTTAATTTCCTGCAAATCTTGCAAAATGTTGTATGATTTTGCCATCCTCCTTTTGACATTGCTTTTTAAGCATACTGTAAACAAGCGTAACATCTACTACTGGAATCGCTGGTATCTAGTTACAAATTATTTACAAGTGTTTTTTTCCTCAATGGTGACATATCTGTCATATGTTTTTATTTTTAACTCAAATTGATTTTGTCACATTAAGATCTCATGCGCTAATAATACCTTAATTTAGCCGTGATAACGTTTCATGCTTTATCGGGTTGTATTATTCCCTGAGAGCATGATCTACAGGATTTTCATATTTAAAGGTTTTTCGATTATCGGAAAACCGACCGAAATACTCGATAACAGTGTAATTGTCACGATTTATCGTGTTAATATATGGCTAACGTCGCGATTTTTGCCGAAAGCTAACGTAATAGCGCAAGAACTGGCAATCTCCGAGACGGAAGACGGTACTACAGTTAAGATTAGTGGTAAATCGCAATGGTAAGCGCTTGCCAAATCCATTCATAAATTCGTAACCGATCTCCACCAAGTTAACAACATTCTGATCCACGTCTCTTCATAAATTTTTACATTTCGGGCAAATCTTGATAAATCTATCACGTAATTTGTGCACCATATCATTGAATTACAAATAACGTCACATGGTGTTACAAAATGTCGTGTTACATGGACAAAATATCAGACGAGAAATTATGTAAGGCTATGTATGAGTCATAACCCCTTTTCAAATAAATAGAATAAATAGCAAATGTTTCATCAAAGGCCTTTTTGTTGCACCCAAAGAATCGTTCCCCCCCAAGTTTTCTAGTTCTTTTAGTCGTAATGTAACATATGACGTAACAAAGAGAAAAGTTCCCGAGCCTGTGTTCCGATCATATGTGCGTGGTGAAGTTCGATGACTCTCAAGTGACCTTTGTACGACACGATTCTCTTTCTGAAGTAACAAAAAAAAAGCAGGGGGTTTGATGGATAAATGACATTGTCGTTGAACGAAACACCAATATGTTCTGACGTTCTAGCCGATAACCTGCTGGCGGACAACTAGCGAGCGATAGAGATGATATATTTTCGAAACTCCCAACAATATGGATTTATTTCGCATCTTTGATTTTATAAATATGATTGTATTTGCTTAATTTGGCTTGTCTTATTTACATGCATGCTTGTCTATCTTTCCGAATATATCCCGCACCTTATCACGTATGTGCTGGGGGGAGTACGAGGTGACAGTGGGAATGTGTAACAGATGTTAATGATTATCTACATGAAAAGATAAGATAATGCTTGTTAATCAAACTTGTACGACTTTGGATGAAGGCGTAAATGAGGGAAGATTTAGTCGCACATTGGAGTAGATAAGATCTTGGGATGTGATAATAGGAAAATCTTACGTTATTGTGTCAATTCTAAAAATATGCGTGAGTACAAATCAATAGTAGTTAGTCAACAAGTGAATAAGGATCAATAGAAGTATTAATAACGAATAATATACAGTACGAAAACAAACACAACGACCAATCACAACCATGATAACGGGAAAACGCTCTCTCTGTTGTGGCCCAACACATGATAAAGAGACACACCCATCGTTGGTCAAGATCGACAATTAACGTTAAAATGGGGCTTTGCCAACCAATCTGAAACGTGTCCGTTTTTTTTCCCTCTCAAATAGTACGTTGCAACATTATCTTGCAACATAAACAAAACATTGTGACTAACTGGATTCACACAGATAATCAGAGTGTATCTGATACTTGTGAAGAAAATAGAAACGCTCTTGAGAGCGCTGTAAAAAGAAACAAACTTGGTCTTAACACGTTAAGCTAACATGCACGATGGCTTTGAAAAGGATGCCTTTCATTTCAGAGGATAATATATATCTAAAAGATTTACAGTGATGTCAACTTTTGGGATGCATATATTTAACTTCCAAGTCGTAAAACGCTGTGTTCGAACCGCTAAAACGCGCACTAACGAATGATCATCTCGAAATTATGAATCAGCACGCAAGGTTACCTATTCATTGAACGCGCAAAGTGGGTTAACTTGACTGTTTTATTGTATCAAACACACAGGTTTAAAAATTTGATCTGTGAGTCATCATTTCTAAAAGTGAATAGCCAATGTTTATTACGCCGTTTTTAAGAAGTGATAAAAGTTATGGCGATTAGTAGAATTAGGCTTCCAATTATTTTTCCTCAACTCTCTGATATTCTATGCGCAGTATGATCTAGATGAGAATTTGTGAGAAGAAATGTAGGTCACTTGCAAAAAGATCGTAACTGAGTCCAGAAGCTCTCTATGTTTGACTACGGTCGAAGGGTCGAAGATTCAAGTCAATCGTTCTGTGCGAACGGGATTCTTTCCGAATAGTCACTCTTGTGAATCTGCCATATTATCGTGTACACGCTGTTTCGAGTAACCAAGACTTGACGCAGACTTGCATCTATTTTTCATTAAACCGGTTATGCACTGGACCACGAGCGTGCTTTGTGATCGAGAATACCAGCTCACTTGTGATCTGGGCGAGCGACATACATTACGTCTCCCTTGCCATATTTGATAAAAGGTGTACAGTATCTGTCACTCGTATTACAGTATGTTTGTACGTTGCTTTGCGGTCCGAGTTATATTCTTGAAAACGAAACGTCATCAGAGTTCAGTTGCATCTGCATCATTTATTAACTAATAATCACGCAGTCCGGAATTACAGTGCAGATATTTTGAACCATCTCCTATATATTTGTATTGACTTAAATGAGACAAAGGCAGATTCCCTTATCGTAGAGCGAGAATGACGCAGACGGGAGCTTTCTCACAAGGCTTGAAAACGATGTTTGTAGTGGGTGCTTCGCGTAACCGTCGTGACTACTGAAATTGCGATCTTTGATTTGCTAGTCACACAACGCACGCGTTTCGAAAGATCGATTCGTATTCGTGATATGCGTGTGGGAGTGTTTAAAAAGTTTTAACAGAAGACGTATAAAATTTTTATTTACATAATGAATATCAACGTAAGCATTTTATTCCTTCAAAATGTCTCTTTGCGCTCTCTATACAATATACACAACGTCTTAGTTTCGACGCCCTTCGACGCCAACACCGAAAGTACTCAAATACTTGTTATAGGTAGCATGTTAGTGCTATTGAAAATTATTAAACATTCTATACTTATTTCGAATTTTAGCAACTCAGACTTGGGTAAAACCAAATTCTACACAAACTGTCGTTGACTATTCAAATTTCTAAAGTTTCACGTCTTGAAATAAAATTTTTTTATTACTTCGTACAATTATATGGGGCATGCTGCAACAAAACCAGACAAAGTGAACATTTGATTATGTGACATAAAGTAATAACAGTGCTCATTCATAACTTATGGACTTGCTAATTTTAATGTTCCCTTTATCATACCAGTTACCAATTAGTTCTTTTATTTCCTCTTCGGTTAAAATATTGTTTTGGTTTGTCATGATTTTAATTTCTATATTATTATTTAATATTAAAAATTAAATCATAAAGAATTTAATAGTAATAGAAACAAACAAAAACTAACGCTAATAAAGTAATAAAATTTGCGGATGACTAAAATATTGTTATTCATTATCAGTATAGATTGGTTTGGGACAACTTATGTCTTTGAATTCATCTCTAACAAATGGGCGAATATTATGATAAAGATATTTTTGCCTTTTATAATCCAAAGGAGGGCGGAGTTAGAACTAAAATAGAAAAAGATTTAATTTCTTTGGTAATTTCAGCAACATCTGCTTTTCTAGTTTTTAACAAATTAAATTCAGTAAAAGCACCATTAACAACCAGCTGAGCCTTGACAATACCAGGTTTAGCTGCTTCGAATACAAAATGCTGATATTTTTGTAAACCACTCAATTTTTTAAAGAAATTCCTAACACAGAATTAAGATCTAAATATTGAAAGCCTTTGCCGTTTTCATAGCACTGAGCTTTGTATAAACCTGCTGTACTCGAATTTTTCACAACCTCAATAATATGACCAACGCAATCGACAGTTGTTTTTCGATAAAGCTTTTTAATCAGTCCGAAGCTACCATCACACTTGAATTTAGTATGTCCCGGTACCATAAAATTTAATTCGACACTTTCGTAATAACCGCAAATTACCAAATACAAATAAAATAAGTAGCATTATTTTATTTTGACCACCCGCATTGTCACAAGTAATCTTTAGATACTTTTCGCCTTTATTCAATCTTAATTTCATCGGATACCATGCTTAACGTGCCATTAGACCCTTTCCCTATTATTTTGTTTTCATCGAGAACATAATTAATTTGTTCGCGTACTGCTTCATCTTGGATACCAAATAAATGCACTTTACGCGGACTGAGATAATACCTGTTGATCGGAATGGGGAACATGAACATTTTGTGCTCAATCGTAACTGTAAAATGTGCAGTTGCGTCAATGCTACAATAATCAACTTTACCTCCTATTGTGATGTAATTATCGTCTACTAATTTCTCTGTTGTTCTGCTAATTTTGTATTTTTGTTGTAATAATTTCTTTCTAATTTGGCCTTAACTAAATGTTCCTTTGATTTTTTTAGTAAATATTTCGCTTCTTTTTACGAGCATTATACTGTAAGCCGTTCCGCATGTGTCACATAAATCCGTTCGTGGACTCGTGATTTGAATATAAGGAGCCATAACTTGCGGAATACATCATATTTTAACACTTTGAACGAGCTATCGTTTTCGAGACCTGCAATAAAAATTACGATAGACTGACTTGTAACTCGTTTCGGCTGGCAATAGCATAAGCGATTGAGTAATGGATTGACATTTTTATCAGGGACTTGGTAGCCCATGAATTTCAGCATGGTTTTCGAGAAAATTTCTCACAGATGTAGCAACAGTTATATCGATGGTTATTTTGGTTTGTCATCTTGGCATTCGTTTTATGTTACCCGTAAACGCGCGGTATTATGCCAAGTGATTTCTAACGTTTTCGAAGCGCGTGCGGCCAATTCCCAACACGTTTTCTGATAAAGCGGCGTATTGCGATCTCAATAATAAAAAGTTCTCTTATTAGTATGTGTTTTCTTTTAAGACGTCGGCTGGCAGTTATTTCTCCTCCATTCATTGCTTTCAGCTGAGCCATTAAAAATTTGTCTTGCTCGAATCTAGAGAGAGCTTGAAACGCCTCACGTAATTCGGCAAAATTTTCTCTTGGAATCCTTTTTGAACAGCCATGCGTATTGCCTTGTCATATTCGGTAGAACCGTTATGTTTGTTATTTATTCATACACGTATAGTCCTCTATATATATATATATAATTTTTGTACAAGCTTTTGCAGATGTTTATTAAAAATTTCGAAGCCCCATCACCACTTAAGATTGATGTGCCAAAGTAGAACCCAACGACTTCAACATAATGGTAGTAAACCTATTAAATTTTCACTTGCATCGCCTAATTACACAAACCAGCAGCACCTATGTAATCTATATTGTAACAGGAGCATTCTGATAATTTCCTGCTTATCATCCTCGTCTGCAAACGCGTCGAGAATGTCCTTCGATGTTACCAAATGCAAGCGTGAGTAGATTCTCTTCAGATTTCAAGCATCCATAAACATCTGGAGAGAATCCAAACAACAAAAACGCAACTCTGAAATGCACTAATTTCTGAGCGGCTAGGCGAACGACATCAAAGCGAGACTCGAACACTTGAATTATTATTAACAAAGTTTTTTTTATTGGTCAGTTTATTGGGCGGATTTGGCGAAATTCAATTGACATTTGGTGTTTACTATAACGATACAATAATATGCACTTGTATCTCACCATAACTTTTCACTCTCTCATGTACTTAGTTCAGTATTAAATGTTGCGTAAAAGAATGACGATAATAGCAATTTCGTGTGTTGTTCAAAAGTTTCTCGTTCTGATGAAAGATACGACTCGCGCTTTATGCAGTACATCTCGGATTAAATTAACGTTGTCAATTAGACTCTGAACTTTTTAAAAACTCGTTAAACTACGTTGTAGGTTTCGGGTTGGTTTTGAGAGATCAAGCAAAACGGATTCACGTGGCCTGACTAAAAGCTCAAGACATCATATTCGCTATATTGATCAGCTCCCCCCTTTTCTTTTTTGGCTGTGTATGGTCTGATCCAACTGCCTTCACCTCCCAGTCGCAATAATCTCGCGCAACTGCCATATGTTATTCGTTGGCGATTATTACTAAAGCGTGTAATGGTCATATGATTGGTTTCACAAGATCGCGTCATTTGACTGATGAGTAGATCCGGAATGCAAACATTAGGTAATCCAAATGGCTAAAAAATATTTCCAAACAGTAAGACAATGAGAACAAGAATGCGCTCTTTACTGTCACGACCACTTCTGTATCACTGAGGATATTAGCGGCCCTTTCATTTATTTCTAGTAGCACCGAATATCATAATTGATTAAACTTGTACGATCAATCTCCCCGAAATCAATCCTATCTATCGTTTACTTTATTACGATGTATTTCTACGACGTGAATTTGCAATTTAAATAGAGATACCACACTTTAATAAATATGTAATGAAGAAATGCTGGAATATGGAAGCTATATATATATATATATATATTAAAGCGCATTTTTACGAGTTAGATCGTCGAATCTCTTAAACGTATAACCAACAAACGCAAGATCTTTCTGGTTGACTTCTGCTGTCGCTGATGGAACTGTAAAACAAGAAATAATAAATTAGATTGTTATTAGTAATGTGAAAGAATCAAGAGCTTTCCGAACTATGTATATAATGATACTCTTCATCCGTTTCTCTTCCTTACTCACCGCTCTGAGGAGGCTGTTCGGGAACCTTATCCAAATCTTCTGTCGGGAAATAACTAGTATCAGTAATCGACGTCAACTGTGGCACAAATGGTGCTTCAATCTGGCGAATCGTGTCCCAGTTGACTCCAGCAAAAAATGGATGTGATTTGATTTCATCTGCTCCGTGGCGCCCTAGTCGCTGTTCTGGGGAGTTGATCAGTCTGAGTAAACATACAAAGAAAGTAGGCGTATATTTGTCGTAAGTGACGACTCTTTGTCCGAATTATTTCAGTGCAAACTCAACTTTCCAAACGCTTTTTCAATTCTCTTCATACCTTCTTATCAAATCCTCGGCTTCATTACTCAAATGAACGTCATCCGGGAAGTACAGCTGTTCTCTCCAATTGATAATCTTTCTATAAGTTTCATGGGCGTTCTCACTGCAAAATGGTGGATATCCAACAAGACACTCAAACATTATGGCTCCCAAAGACCACCAATCACATTCTTTTCCGTATCCCTGTTGACGGAAGATTTCTGGTGCAATATAGTCTGGTGTTCCCACAGTCGAAAAAGCCTACGTTGAATGTGTGTTAATATAATTGTAGAGCTTAGAATAAGATGGTAACCACAAAGACCAGCGAAAGGAAATAGAATGGAAATAATAATTCGTATAAATGATGAATTTCAGCATCCTCCTCTCTTCCTTTACGACATAGTGCCTCTTCAAAATATCTTACCAAATTCCTCCTGTTCTTCTTCCATGTAGCGATACGATCTTTACTCGACAAAGTCAGATTAATATTATGTTCACTTCCCAATTGCCTATGTCCATTTGGTCCACTATAAGATCCATCTAACAAACATTGGTAGTATGCAGAATCGTGTGTTTTATGAAAGCCAGTAGATAAACCAAAATCTGACAATTTAATGTGTCCCCTTTTTGTCAATTAAAATATTGTCCGGTTTGATGTCACTAGGTAAGTGCATAGAAAAGATTAATATGACAAGATAAAAATAGACCGAGTATTTGGCCATCAAATACGTCGCCTTTTACCAACGTTTGGCCCGTCACTCCATAATGTTTTTCATTACCATTAATATTCGTAATACCTATACTACAAATATGCTCGCCTTTATAATCCTACTAATTCCCACATGCGTTCTACGGAATTAACCCTATTCCTTACCGATGGATAAAATTCAGCTTATGAATAGCGTCAATAGCCATAACACATTCCGCAATATAGAATCTTGTTACGTCCTCCGAGAAGGTATCATACTTAATCAACATCGTCATTAAATCGCCACCGGGCAAGAATTCCATGATAAGGTACAGATATTGGGCGTCTTGAAAGGAATAGAAAAGCTGCACTACCCAAGGAGAATCAGACTCGGCCAACACATCGCGCTCGGCACGAACGTGGGCAAGCTACATCGATAGATAGAGGCAATATAATTGTGAATGACAACATGAATATCGGGTGAAAAAAAAAACTAGGACATGGTTTTCCCGTTTAATGTTTTACCTGATCCTTCTTGAACATGTCGGCTTTTCGTAGTGTTTTCATTGCATATATCTTACCAGTATCTGCTTTTTGCGCCAATCGAACCTAAACACAAACAGAATTGATGTGCAGAAAGTTACTAGATGATTCGCATAAAATGTGCTGATATAGATATTAGTATCAATAAAGTCGTAAACAATGGGATGTAAATAGTACACTATGAGCACAGATTAAGTTCTATCTTTTGAATATTAAAACGATAGTGTCTATTTACGGATGGTTTATCGTATGACGTAGAATTAATAAATAAACGAAAGCGGTGGAAGGGATGCTTTCTATGACAGACACCTCTTCATCAAGTGAACACATACCTCACCAAAAGCTCCCTTACCAATGACCTTGAGAGTAACAAAATCATCCAGGCCAAGTCGCGTTCTTCTCAGCCGTAAAAATTGCGCCTCTTTCTTACCGAGTGCATTACGCTGTCTGTTCTTTCGCTCTTCAGAACAATTTTCCTTCTCCAACTTTTGTTCCAGTTCATCGAGCCTGGAAGAAGGTTATGCATAGATTGGAATTAAAATAGACAAGTGTGTTTAGTGATTTCATATAAAAAAGTCGTGTTTTGAGCCGTTGAGACGAGTTTACAAGTGGAAGCAGGTTTAAACGCAGAACACGCGTTAGGAATTCGTATTTATGGAGTACGCATCTATTCATAACATCGTTCTGTTTGAGAAAAGTTTTCCCCTCTCTCACGTCATCGCAATCAACAGTTCCTTTCGCTTTACAATTTTACAGCTTTTTTTATCCCCTGGCAAACTTCCACCATTCTACACTCCTCATCCCTAAATCTATTTCAAATCTCTTTTAGCAATACCTCTTCTTTCTCTCTTGGGCTTGCTCGACTATTGCCCTGTAGTAGTGCTGTAGCTTCAACTTGGCAGCGGTACTCTTATCTAGCGTCTGTTTTGAGTATCCGTCTGTAGACCTCTCAAAGAACAAGTGATCAGCATGGCCGTTGTTCGGTGATCCAGATTGTGCATATGCAATCGAGTCGTGTTCAGACATGATGTGAGTTGTAGGAGAGTTGAGAGCGAGACGTGACTGGTGGGACGTAAAGTTGGGAAGAAGTACAAGAACGACTAGAGAGAGTTATGACTATGAATATGGTTGTTCGTTTAATGTATTTATGAGCTTTTGAACCGTTGTATTCGAACCCTAAAGTATATATGTCAGAGTCTATTAATATTGGGATACTATTTTTTTTTGTGTTATAGGGTGTATTTAAATTGTTAAACTGTTCTGGTGTAGTAAATACAGAGAACGAGATTATTGGTCAAAAGTTTGTTGAATTTCAGAATAGACAGTAATGTTAGTGGTGGTAATGTTAGTGTTAGGTGTTAGTGTCAGAGTTGTTGAGGAAGGGGGGGTAGTTTGTTGTTGTTGCTGTTGTTGTTGCTGCTGCTGCTGCTGCTGTTGTTGTTGTTGGGTGGATAATATAAGATGGAATAAAACATAATAATACGAATATCATGTCAATGTTGTGTGTATATTATTAATATCGATATTGTTACCATAATCACTATTATTCCCATTATAATAGTTATTATTGTATTTAGACTAATTTTTTTTGAAAACGTATCTCATCTTTGCCCGTATTGGATTGTCCAGTGCGCAGATTACAAAGTAATCGATCTAAATTCATATATGCAAACTGTGCTTGCCCCATCGCTATTGGCTTAAACCCCGAATACATTCGAATTCCGCACATTCTGCACATTTGTGTGTGTATTTTCTTGTTTCCGCCGTGTTACCTTAAAACGATTTTAAGGTTACACGTGGGCCACGCGAACTGTGTGACCCATGAAACTGAAAGTTGATATGCAGTATATCAAATCATACAAAACTACGCAAAGTAGACCAGTCAACAGCATACGCAACAAGACTCGCAATGCCAAGTTTTACAGTTCACAAGTGTTTACAAACCCCATTTCGGTATATTCAGCCCTTCGCACTGTCCCTCGCCCTCCGCTTATTCTTTATACCGTCGATCAAATGATATCGATGATCGTTGTTTCACAACGGCGCAAGGCACGTTCTGTGTCATTCGTCGCATACTTTTCCGTATGAGGGAAAAACAGGGAAGACCAATTCATCAGCATCTGTTATTGGAAAGAAGTTAAAAAAAAAAAAAGACGCAAAACCTTTCTCGCCATATTTAGTAACGGGCTATTTTCAAAGGTCACTAGTAGTCGAAACACAATGTTTGTGTAATAATAATAGTGATGGTATCAATTTTTAATTAATTCAATTGATGATCCGGCTTGCGTTATCGTTATCGGGCTTTGATCCTTAACCTTATTTGTAACTAATAAACTCCCCCTTCCCCAATTAAATGAAAATTCCATTTATATATTGTATTTGAGAGTGCGGGTAAAAACGTCTTCCCGAGAACAGGAAAAGCAATAGAATTAACAAAGTTTAGGCGTATATATACTGTATGTACGTATGTACCATTTCACTGCCCATAAATATTTTAGGGGTTGTAATAGAAAACACTTGTCGTACACCCCAAATGTTAAGCAAGCGTTTCTTGTTTTCGTGATTGCTTTAATTACCTATATAGCGTTTTATTTTGAGGACAAAAATTTCGTCGATCCATAGGTTTTGGGGGCGGGAAGTTAATTTGAACCGCAAATTTAGTGTTTATCCGTAGTGTAAATTATTGTAAAGTTCTTAATTTGTATCTTGTCAGCTTACAGTTCAAAAAATAGGAAAACTAATGATGCTACATGAGTAAATCATTCCCTTGGCCGCCACCTTTGTAAGTTTATTTTTTTAAGATTATAACTTAGAAACACAGTAAAGTTTCGAGTTCCGTTTGGAATTTGAGATTTCCAAATTTGATGCATGCATATTATATGTGAGTACGCATTTACACGAAATATGTGGTCGAATCATAGAAACATACGACACTATTAGCGTAAATGCGCCTTGTCGAATTTATGAATACAGTCGCTTCTTTACCAGTTTAGTCTACAACCTATTGCTCGACTTGCAGCGTCGAGAAATAATCTAACTTTGCAAATAGAGAATACGATTACAGTCTAGAGTCGTTTGCATGAGAAGTTAGGGAGGAGACCAAGGTAAGGTTAAACTGTTTTGTACTGTATTCAACATTTATTATATATAAAACGATCTTGTATCAAGGGAAAACGGTAGACTTGATCTGTTAAAAAGTCGATAATAGTTCCATGGTCAGAGACTTTGCTTGTTGCAGAAAATCGGTGGCATGACGGGTTTTGATGACAATACGCACAGTAAAATAGTTGAGGTACACGTCTTTTATTGTGACTCATAAACACATGCAGTTTTCGCATAAACGGGTTGACTTCGGTGGCGTCCTCAAATTCCAAGCATATCAATAATTAACAAGTCAGTTATCCTATAGTTACTGGTAGTTCCTATAATTGTGTCTTTGAAAGTTTGTCATCAAATAACTGGATTTCAATATGCTCGGCAGTCCTTCGCATCACTTTCTGATTTCTCTGACTACTTTACTGCCAACGATGAAAAAAGTTGTTACAAAGATTCTATTATTTGGACGTTACGCTGCTTTCACATTTTTATTCTAAAAAATCTCTCCTCTTATTCTTGCATAGCTATCAATAGTCTAATGCGAAATACCGTTTAATACTAGCTTAACAGATTTAGCTTATAAAACAAAAGTTTTCGGGATGGAGATATTGGTATGTAAAGTAGATGTTGCTTTAATCGAAATATTTACAAAATGGTGACCTTATTTCCTTCTACAAATCAGTAAATTATAACAATTAATATAAATTATTTCCATGCAAGTAATGTCCTTGTATATTAATATATTATTATGACCCATAAAGCTTTGCCAGTTAGAGCACGATTCCGGTTTGAGTTCTATCAACTAATGACGGGAAGAAAAATAACTAGACACTTAGCTAATTTATTACTGTCTACAACTAATCTAATCCTGACTGGTTAGCAAAACCTCCCCCTGATTATGTTCAAAGGGCAAGGTAATGTCAATTATGGACCAATCTTAGCATTGGTCACAATAAATTATGGTTTGTATGACATCAAATTTTTTCTTTTTACGATTGCTATACATCGTTCGTCTGCAGGGGGCAATCAAGCATTCGGGACTGCTTTCTTTGTCATTTCCCTTGCGAATTAGTAAAAATGAGTAAGGTTGAAATAGGACCAATGATTTAATCTGGTTTATTTGTCATTCCACACCAGTTGATTTGTTAACGCGATTTCTATATCAGTGGAAAATTGTTATTCCCCTTACTAAGTACTATCGGCTTTACTAATAGCAAATTGCCGATATCTGTAATGAAATAGGTTCACCGTATCCGTAATCTAAAACACGGTTTGTAATAAAAATTATCGAGTCGACAACAATCTATTAACCAACACAGTTCATTACTTGTATCGGGGTTTGAATGCGAATCATGTTATTTTCTACTCAATAACTGCTAGTAATAAACAAGAAGAAAGATCAAAACGGAAAACTAATCATTAGTAGAAAACCAGTTTACTGTACTGTTGTGCTCGGAAGATCAAACTGCTTTCATATGAGCGACTCTTACTGGTGAAAACAAGCAGTTGAATACATGAAGATTAAAATTTGTCACTGAAATAATAATAAGGATATTTTAATTAACAACCATATTTGGGTTCTGGACCAACTCTTTTTTGGACTATCGAGTTTAAATATGTACTGGTCTACATTTTTATTTCCGTGGCTAAATTTGAATCATACAATATGACATATTAATATTAAACAAGCGGAAATAAATCGCTGCTTGTAAACACCGTGCACGGCATCTATTACTATGATAATAACCAGCGTGTCTCGCATAACAGTACTTCATGCACAACAATCATTTCCGGTTTTCAAATGAATTATTGAGACGATAAGGTAGGCAAATAATTAATCGAAAAAACGTTTGTTACCTGTTATATTTCGAATAAATAAAATTTTAACCTATTAAAACCACTTGTTTCAACAAAAATTAGGTTACACTTTGCGTTTTTTCAATTAATTGTATTTTCAGCCATAAAGCAGGAAAAGTCGATAAAATTTAAGCATATTATTAACGATAAACCAATATTACACTGCAAAACCATCCAAACAATTTATGCGTGCGCTAACTTGTAATTAATTGACAATGCATCTAGCCTTTGACGTTAATTTCTTAAAAACAAAGAACTACTGTGCTGTTGGACGCACATCATTAATTACTCAAGCTTTGCACTGTTAAAGGTTAATTAGACTAATATATTTTTGCACCAAAATTGGTTATCAACAAGGTGATGTCTATTGATGTTGATGGGATTAATTAATTAATTTCACCAATAAAAAGATGCGCAAATGCAGGTTACCAACCTTATTTTACAAATAGCATGGGGTGTGGTTTTCAACAGATATACTACTGGGAAAGTAACCATAACTTTAATTGTTTAATGCTTTAGATGGAAACGTTTTGCTAAGCTGCATTGTTCAATATGCGTTGATTGAAATCTTGTTCGAATAGAATGTCAACGACTTTTTATGATATTAAAATGAATAGTGAAAAGAATTGTTAACCGACGGCACAACCATTGATCAACTCGATTTCTACATGTGAACTGGAAAGTGAAGAATCTTTTTTATAACTCAGCGCGAAACTTTATTTTAACCATCTTGTTTGAATAAACAGAAAGATAACTGAACATGTCCGAGTCACATTGTTGACTAAATATGTTTTTACTGGCGCATCATCTGCGGATGGGTATTATTTTATGCCAATTTCATTGTTATAGCGACAGCAGATTAGCAGGCCGCTTTGTCAATCAATTAAGGCTGTTATCGACTCGATTTCGCGCCAGCCAACACGATTTGACTCGCGAGCTTTAAATGTTCATATAAAATTTTCTGACTCTGGCATCCCGTACTTTGAGCAAAGCTATAGGCGTTGATTAAAAAACCACTCCTTTGCTGTTTAAAAACTTACTAGTGTCGTATACTTACTGCATCGATGTACCTTGGACTTGCTCTAATTCGAACTTTTACACGTGACATCAAGCATGTTTTTCATTATGTGCGAGACGTTGAATAATCGCAAACACCTCACTACTAAGTATTCAGCCTTTTATTTAAATTATAACGAGACATTTTCTATCATTAATTTTATTGGTTTTACTCACAAGTCTACCTCTATCTAATAAAAAAGATGATTTTGCAAACCGTGACATCGAGTATCAGGCGGGGCAACTCAAACAGTACATAATGCTCGATAAGCAACAAGACCATCTTTCGTATCGATTCTTATTTTAATTCCGGCCCCAATAAAATATACGCCACCTGGCCATAATTCCTTCTTTCTCTCTTGATTATCGACAATCATCACGCCAGTCCCCTCAGTAACAATCAATACGCTTGGCCCACTTATCGGATCAAATTCCTCGCTCGCATTCTCACGCGTCAGTGTGGTAAGCAATACAGAAAACTCTTCTATGGGTGGATCATACAGGACAGTAGTCGATGAGTGCCGAATGGGAGACAGTATCTGCTTATCAGCGGGACCGTAGTTGTACGTCAGCATATTAACCAAGACAGGTACATCTTTGAATTTTGGTGTCAGGCCGGCACGAACTACATTGTCGCTTGCAGCCATGCATTCGACACAATCTGTAATTATATTCGCGAGTAAAAGCTCATTAACAATTCTGATTTGACGTGTAACCTTCCCTCATTCCAATGTTTTTAAAAAGGAGTTTTTCTACTTCACCTCCAAATAAATACGCATGCGGCTCGTTGGCACCCAAGAAAATAGCCTGCCCCGGGTTTAGTTTTACATAATTCAACATTAAAACTGCAAATACGCCAACATCACCCGGATATTGAGTACTTAATCTCACAATCAACTCTTTTGTACAGTCATCATCTCCCGTCTCTCTCTGTTCTCGTTCCACTCTCCGCGACATCTTGTCCACAGACTCTTTTACAACATTCGCATCCGCCATCATAACTGCAGCGAACAATTCTCTAAGTACCGCCTTGTTACTCGTAATTTCCTCGGGTGAAGTAGTTTCACTCTGACCACGAACGGAATCTAAAAATTTTTTTACTGTCGCATCGCCCACAAGAGCGGCGAATTCGGGAAACTCGTGAAGGCATGATGCGACTTCGTTTAAGGGTCGAAATCCGAATAATGCTTCAAAGTCTGTAATTGCTATCGCCATTTCTGGTTTGTGATTCGGGTCTGTTTAAGAGTAGATCAAAGGCGAAAGAGTAGGCTTGTGTTAAGATTGTAAATATTTAGCAAACCAGATTGTGACTAGTCTTGCAATTCTTTTACAATTTGACACGGCTGGCACTTATATACCTGTTACAAGATGTCTTACCTTTATATATAGTAGGGTACTTTTCATGTAACTCTTTCCCGAGTTTCTTGTCGGGATGTGCTTGGATGGAAAGCGCTTTACGAACAGAGAGAACTTTGAAGAGGAATGGAAGGTCATTGTCGTAATTTTGGGCTATGGCAGCAGTGAGATGCTGAGTGGGGTTGGAGGATATAGCCTCCTTGAGAAAAGTATTTGTGCCTGTAATTTTGCTAGGGCCGTTTGGGTGAGTTCCCATCCATAGCTTGTGTGAATGGAAAACGATGCAAGTTTAGTAGGAGATTCGAACGTTGGGGAGAAAAGCTTTGCTTTAGTTGTATAAACTGATTCACCTCAGCATACGGTTTATCATTATTTATATCCGTGAACTTGGAGGCAAAGTGTGCCACTTTACTTTCATTTCCCAGCTTTCCCCAGTCGTAGCTTTGAACGGCGCATTCCAGACAGTACACTGCATCCGTCATGGTAAATAATACTTTTAATTATAAAGCTGTTTATGAGGGAGGAGACGGAACACGCAAAACGTGGAAGAGATTAAATGTCACGTAGTGCAACATGGTTTCTCTCAAGGTTTAAGATTTGTCAAAAATGTTCGATCATATTAATATGAATACTGTATAAGATGATGGTAACACAATTAATCTTCACATATTAAATTCGTTAACTCAAAAACTACGACAATGTAAACATATATTTTTTCTGTCTTCAATACATTCACCACTTCGCATTATCCAAATGGGGCTTAGCCCAACTCCGTTTTAACCCTTTCGGGTGCGAGAGTTGAATTCTTAGATGCTTGCATACTTTCATAGAAATAAACTAATTCTAGAATTTTCTCACGTTCAATTGTAGAAGAACATGCTCATTTAATTGTTATTAATACCATTTTCAAATATTTCGAGTCACTCGCGATAACCCGGACTCATCGGTGCGGAGATGTCTGACTTATCGCGAATTTCGATGTACTGTAGAATGCTTATTGGCCATGTTATAAAAGCTTATGCGAAAATCATTTAATTCAGAGTCGAATAGGGAAATCAACTTCTGAATCACGCATCGCTACCAATTAGTTCCTTATATTATATTTTAATATTAAAAAAATTAAATCATAAATAATTTAACAGTAAAGAAAGAAACAAAAACTAAGATTTGCGGTTGACTGAAATATTTTCAGTACAGACTGGTTTGGGACACTTATGTCTTTGAATTCATCTCTAACAAAGGGGTGAACATTATGATAAAGATATTCTTGTCCTTTGTAAGCCAAAGGAGATGAAGTTAGAACTATGATGGAAAAGAATTTAATTTTTTTTTGGTAATTTCAGAAACACTTGCGTTTTTAATTTTTAATAAATTGAATTCAAGTAAAACACCATTAGCAACCAGCTGGACTTTGACATTTTCAGATGAGCTACTTTGAATAGAAAATGTTGATATTTTTGTAAACCACTCAATTTCTTAAAGAAAATTTCCAATACGAAATTAAGATCTAAGTATTGAAAGCCTTTGTCGTTTTTATAGCACTGAGCTTTGCTGTACTCGTTTTTTTCACAACCTCAACAATGTAATCCACACAATCTATGGTTGTTTTTCGATAAAGTTTTCTAATCAATCCGAAGCTATCATCACATTTGAATTTTGTACCATTAATCTTCAAATGTTTATTTAATTTCTTAATTCCATCGAATACCATGCTTATGGTACCATTAGAATCTTTGCCAATTATTCCATCTTCATCGAGAACGTAATTAATTTGTTCGCGGACTGCTTCGTTTGAATACCAAATAAAAGCACTTTATACGGAACGTGAACATTTTGCTTTCAATCGTAACAGTCGCGTCAACACTACAATAATCGGCTTTATCTTATATTTACCAATTTCCCCTGTTGTTCTGCTAATTTCGTATCTTTGTTATAACAATTTCTCTCCAATTTAGCCTTAACTAAATGTTCTTTAAATTTTTTTAGTAAATCTTACTGCTTGTTCTTTCTTACGAGCATTGTACTGTAAGCCGTCCCGAAAATGTTGACACGTGTCACATGATTTGGTGCCACACTCTTTGAATACTCCTTATCTCGTTCAAATTGGTAATCCATAAATTACTTCTATTGCAGCAAATTTAGAACTTTGGGCGGAATAAGCATTACGCAGTAAGTGCTACTTACGAAACACATCATATTTTAACAATTTAAACGTGCTATCGTTTTCGAGGCTTGCAATAAGATTACGATAGTGATTTGTAACTCGTTTCGGCTGGCAATAGTTTAAGAGATTGAGTAATACGATTGACATTTCTACCAGGACTTGGTAATCTATGAAGTTCAGCATAGTTTTCGAGAAAATTCTTCACAGCAGTAGCAACTTTTATATCATATTTTCCATTGTGGTACTTGTTTGATATTACCATGAACGCGCGGTATTATACCATTCGTCTCTAGACGTTTTCAAAGTGCGTGCGACCAATTTCTAACATATTGGGATACATTTTCCGGCAAAGAGGCGTATTGCAATCTCAATAATAAAAAGTTCTCTACTAGCGGTTATTTCTCTGCCATTCATTGCTTTCAGCTGAGCATTACAAGTATATCTTGTTTGGATCTAGAGAGTGCTTGAAACGCCTCGCGTAATTCGGCAAACCTTCTCTCAGAATCTTTTTTGCAGTTCCAGCCTATCTCCAAGTAATGCATGACCTTTTCATATTCAGTTAGACCACTATAATTATAATTTTCCGTATACGGGTATTTATATATATATTTTTTATCACTTTCATAACAGTAATTTGCTTGGGTACAAAATTTCAACAATCAAGTAATTTACTTCTGACGATTCAATTTCAAATAAAAAAATCCTAACTTTTTTATGACCTGATCGATTCTAAACCATTTTGCCGTAGTTTATGTAGTTAGTGGAGCACTCGAAGCAAGCGAAATGAGATAAACTAAACCTGTAAAAATTCGAGACATTGGTGAAATATGGTTTTCTTTTGCCGTCAGCATTTTATTTAAATTCTAACGTTGTAAATTGCATTTCTGACAATTGGTATTATATGTTTAAAATAAATAATATCAGAATTTTTCAGGAATATTATCCATATCTGTTATTAGTACAAGGAAAAGGATTTAATTTCTTTGGTAATTTAAATTTCAGAAACACTTGCTTTTCTAGTTTTTAACAAATTAAATTCTATATAATAGTATATTGAAGATATTCAAATTAATATGTCTAATTGCTGAGCATCACACAAAATTAAGCATTCAATTTTTTGTATACAATGAAAGTCCTATTACTATTGTTTCAACATCAGCACTTTTCAGTTTAAGAAATGAAGCAAATTACATGACAAGTCAGGTATATGCCTTCCTAATTTTGAAATAAATTATCCTCATACCATGGAATATATTGCTTTGCTAAAACTGAGCAGCTCATCATCATACCTCTTCTGCATGGGCTTACCCCCCTTTATGCCATCAGGTGACACAATGCTCTGTATCTGGGTGTTACTGGATATGGGATATTAATATGTGTCCTCACCAACCCCAGTTGAAATTGATGAGTACAGCCCACACCTTTGTTGACTCTGCAGAGTCTGGAAAAATGAGAATATTTGATAAGTGCAGGCCAAAGACATAATCATTTCTGTGCAATAAACTGATGGCCCTCTTCACATCCTCCATATGTGCAAGTACTAATCTGTGATAGTGAGGGCTTATATTCATGTAATGTCCTGCTGTTCTAAACATATTCCATAATTATAATGATCACCTTCAATCCCTTGGAGACTTCTTCAACACCAAGCAGCTTTGGAGCCAGGCTATCTTTAGTGCACAGTTCATGGGCAGCCTCATTGTACCATGTTGTGAACTTTAACAACAATTTCTTGACCATCCTGTTCTGTGTTCAACTCCAGTATAAGTAAGACTTGGTGCACCAGTATAGATGCATATGTCCTATTACTATAGCATCACACAGGTCACAGAGGTCATCAGCATAGTAAAACTAACATCTTTGCCATTGATGTCCTTGAACTCCTAATACTAAAGTCAGGATAGAATTTCTGTGTTATGTGTATCAATATCCTCTGTGAGCATTTGGGGCAGACTGCAACAAAACCAGACAAAGTGAACATTCTATAAAATGAGAGGCTGATTATGATGTGGCTGTAAAAT